CTGTTGTAGCTGTACCTTAAATCTGTTGTATATTCCAGGACAGGGGGTGTTCATTCAGCAGCTGTTGTAGCTGTACCTTAAATCTGTTGTATATTCCAGGACAGGGGGTGTTCATTCAGCAGCTGTTGTAGCTGTACCTTAAATCTGTTGTATATTCCAGGACAGGGGGTGTTCATTCAGCAGCTGTTGTAGCTGCACCTTAAATCTGTTGTATATTCCAGGACAGGAGGTGTTCATTCAGCAGCTTTTGTAGCTGCACCTTAAATCTGTTGTATATTCCAGGACAAGAGGTGATTCAGCAGCTGTTGTAGCTGCACCTTAAATCTGTTGTATATTCCAAGACAGGAGGTGTTCATTCAGCAGCTTTTGTAGCTGCACCTTAAATCTGTTGTATATTCCAGGACAGGAGGTGTTCAATCAGCAGCTTTTGTAGCTGCACCTTAAATCTGTTGTATATTCCATTTTGATTCGACTTTGCGTCGCTTTCTCCGTTTCCTAACAAATTAATATTTTCTACACACAATTCTCACGTATTTGTGGGGAAAAAATATATTTTATGGACATTTAAAATTATCAGTAACAAACAATAAAATAAGTTGGATCTTTTCCGTTTGGTGCCCACCAACAGTACAAAAATGATCTTTTCCGTGGAAAGCATATAGCATCATCCCGAACTTGAAAGGTTATTTTTACCGGCATAAAACTGTAAATCACAGTAAAAAATTTTGTAGATCCTGAAACTTGCAGCCATACCCAAAATATTGAATGCATGTGGCACAGTTTAAAGCTAAGAAATAAGCGTGGAACTCATCGCCAAATGCTTGCCTCTTATCTTTGTGAATTCATAAATATCATATAATGTTTTATTATTACTTATTTTATTGCATTACTGGTGTTGTTTTCAAAGCGACCTGTTGGTGGGCACCAAACGGAAAAGACCCAATACGTTCTGTTATAAAGTACTCTGAACATTTTTAAAGTGGTATTCTCCTATGATTTCATGAAATAATTTACATTTATTTCGCTTTCTTACAACTATACACGAACATAAGAAATTTTGTTTTACTTTAACCAAAACTTTATTCTCACCAATCAAGTATCTCTTATGGACTGGTGATAATTATGTTTAATTTTGATTATGGGCCAATTTTACCAAAGGTTCTCATTTGAAACTAATAAATGAAAATATACAGAATTTCTTAAAGTGGTAAAAAAATAAAATAAACAAGGTCTGTTGTACCATGTGATTACCTCGTTAAAAGTAAACAGTAAATAAACAAAAGCTATCCTACTACGTTAAAAGTAAACAAGGAACATATAAGACTTATTCTACCATGCAGCAACCATGTCATTTAAAGTTTGTGCTTACTCACTGTTGCAAATTAACGCAGATGTCAATTGCTCATGATTTATAGACTTGCATAACTAGTGTCACGCAGGTGTTTAATAGACCATGTGGTTCGTAGAATAAATAACCAGCTTATAAAGTTATAAGTTAAAGTTTTTTTTTATGTTCCGTACTAAGCGTACAGTAGTTAGGATGCTTGACTCGCAATCTGAGGGTCGCGGGCTCGAATTCACGTCCCACCAAACGTGCTCGCCCTATCAGCCGAGGGGGCGTTATAATGTGACAGTCAATCCCATTATTCGTTGGTAAAAGAGTAGCCCAAGAGTTGATGGTGGGTGGTGATGACTAGCTGCCTTTCCTCTAATCTTAAACTGCTAAATTAGGGATGGCTAGCGCAGATAGCCCTCGTGTAGCTTTGCGCGAAATAAAAAAAACAAATAAACTAAGCGTACATGTGATAGTATTCAGTGGTTTGAATAATAAAATACGTAAGATAATGTGAGATTTAAAACCAACACAGTATTTTTAATATTTTTATTGACAAATATTAAGATAATTAAAATGATGGGCACGCATTTAAACTGTAAAGTTAGAAGGTTTACTTTGTTAGAATATCGCACAAAGCTACACGGGGACTACTTGCGCTAGCCGTCCCTAATTTAGCAGTGAAAGACTAGAGAGAAAGCAGATAGTCATCACCACCCACCGCCAACTCTTGGACTACTCTTTTACCAACGAATAGTGGGATTGACTGTCACCTTACAACGTCTCCACGACTAAAATGGCGAGCATGTTTGTTGGAACGAGGATTCGAGCTCGCGACCCTCGGTTTGAGAGTCTAGTGCCCGAACCACTTGGCCATGGCAGCCCTAAAGTTAGAAGAATTAGGTCATTTTAAAAACCTATATTACTTTTCAACTCTTACAAAAATATAACTGTCAAACAAAAATGATAAACATTACACATAGTTATTGTTATAGAAATATATTATTATAGATCGTTTGTGTCATAGATATTATTACAGACAAAATCACACTAGACTTCAGAGTTTGTTTTTCACATTATTCTTAACTAGGAGAGACCCGTAAAACATTCGCGGTCAGATTAGTATCTTTATTGCGACAGTACTTCTTTAAATACAGAATTCTAGAATAATACGAAATAATTCTAATCGCAAACACTGAAATTTACAAGTCCATCTGTCTTAGGCCTAACATTAGTTAAACCTTCATTTAGTACAGCCTATATTCGATAAAGAGATGAATTAACGCTGTAATTTGTGTACGTTTTTTGGTTTAGTTAGTTAAGGTTAAACTTTACCGTAATTGATACTACCAATATATGCACTTATAATGTTATATTACGAGCTAACGTTAAACCTTTTTGAAAAATTTGATAAGCATTTAATGTGCTGTTGTACAAAATGTCTACTAAAGTATATTTGCATCCGTTTTTTGTTTACATCCGTTGAAATATAGTGAGCGTGCATGCGTATTTTCAGGAGAGACAAAAACTGAATATTGTTATAATAGATTTGCCCATTACAGATTTCAAGTCAGAGATGTGTAAAAAATTACAATTCAAATTTATGCATGGCCTGTTGCAAGTAGGTGTAATATTACATCTCAGTAGTAAAGATAATAATTTTGATAACATCTGTTTCATTTCGGATTTCCAAAAAGAAAGTTGGTTGGTAAGAGTTCAACACGACATACATTTTACAGGTAGAAAGTAATAGCGGAAGATAAATATTATTAATTTTCACCCTTTAAATAAATGTATACGTGACAGATCAACAGAAAAAACGTTCTGGAATATATATTGACCTTTCGAAAGCGCTTGAGTTATAGTGTTTTTATCATTTTATATTAAGACTTAAACCAACTTCACATAATACTTGTTTTCTAGTCATCCTGAAGAGATTAAAAATTAAAACAGGTTTTGTTTGTTTGTAATTAAGCACAAAGCTACACAATGCTATCTGTGCTCTATCAACCACAGGTATCTAAATCCGGATTCTAGCGTTGTAAGTCCGCAGACATACCGCTGGGGGACGATAAAACAGGTCATATCATCGTCTTTTTTTTTTCATGGAATGCTGGTTTTACATAGAAAGACTAATGACATGTGTATAACTAATGTTACGATACCAAAAACAAGATTTTATTTCCGAATGTTATATATCTAAGATGCAATTGCGTTATTTTTCCAGGATGAACTTCTGTACAGCAAGACAATTAGGGTCACACCCTTGACCCACATGAAAGTTACTTCGTAGTAAAACCCAATAGAACTATTAGCTTCACCCGTGGAGTCCTCGCTTTTTAACTTACTAATGACTATGATTAGATTCGCCAAGGATTTAATGTTTGGAACTTTGTTTTATAATTTTCCTCAGTGCACAGTGTCTTAGCCAAACATAGTAAACAGTATAGTATACCTCCCTAACTACCTATATCTCTTCTAATAACGAGTCTATATTCCTTCCCCTACCCCTTCCTTCCAATAACCCCCAGGCTACGGAAATTTCAGGAATGTTTTATAAAAAGTTCTACGCCCATTGACAGACGGAAAAGACACGAGGCAGGATTTAATGCAACAAAACAACGTCAATTTTATTTCACTAATCGTCAGAAGGACAGTGACTAGAACGTGGGTATATAATTGATTTTAAACTCATATCGTCAACTTTTTTTTTATACCATTCACTTCTTAGTAATTTCATGCTTTTATCTGTTACAGCGCATAGTGTAAAAAACTGGTAACAAAGTGGAATCGCTCATTCACTATGTAAAATGCGCATAAGTACTAAGTGCCATTAATTGCTGTTTAACAGTATATCTTTGTTTACTATTTTTACGTGACTCGTGTGTTATTAGGAACCCTGTAACATAATCACAGACCCGAAATAGAAATATGTGTTTAAAAATCCGATGGGATCTATATGGACTAATAAAAGCCACAGGTGTGGTAATTTCGTTAATTAATTTCTCCTGCTTGTCTTCGGGAAAAGATTCGGAATCTTTTTGTTTTAATAAGCATCCATTTAATGTTTGTATTTTTAAACAATGAATATATTCTATTACAATATGATTGTGTTATATTTGTAAAGAGCACAACTTTCTGTCTGAATCATGTTAAAAATTGGGCCTACGTTATATGGACACAAATTTATAACAGTTCTGCCTGAATCTAGGCCTAGCATGGCCTGATGGTTAGAGCACTCAAATTGCAGTGTGTAGGTCACAGGATCGAATCCCATCAACGAATATGATTGCCCTTTCAGTTGTGATGGAGTTATAATGTGACGATCAATCCTACTTTTCCTTTGTAAAGAGAAGCCCCAGAGTTAGGGGGGGGGGATATTTACTAGCTGCCTTCCCTCCAATCTATCACTTCAAAATTAGCGACGGCTGGTGTGAATAGCCCTTTTAGTAGCTTTACACGAACGTCAACAAACCAGTCGTCTACGTTTTGTTTAAGTCAAGTTTTGAAAATATCCAAGTGTACTGTAATACCGAAACAAATTTTCTGTAAAAGTAATAATAATGGAATGTAAGTACTGAAGTGAGTTGTTATTTGGCTGTAACCTGGGCTGTTTCTTCGTGTACATGATTGGACGATATTCATTTTAAAGATACTGTACACAGATAGTGTACACAGAGTAGTTTTAGAATAAACTTCAGCACCGTAAGTTACTGCCAACACATGTGGACCCATTGCAGACCACACTTCTTGACGAATGGGTACCAATTGAACAATACATCTTTCGATATTTTCTGTTGTCTATTGCTCTCGGAGTCCAGGCCATTGTTGTGGGAAAAGGTAGCTCAAACCACAATTCGGTGTATGGGGGGTCATAATAAAGTGTCCAGTCAGGGTTTAAATAAACTTGAATCCGAAAAAATAAGTAACCAAAGTGATTCACTTACAGTTTTATACTTCCGATTGTCCCACAGAAAACTGTGGATGTTTTACTTGTAACATATTTCCCTTCTTTTCAATTTATGTAATTATAAATGTAATTACATGTTTCAATACCCGATTATTGTGTTCCTAAACACAACATACACGTGACGTATGATGTCTCAGATTTCTTTACTCATAACTCGATTACTTTTGCATTACTATAACTGATATGTATTTACCACATTCTGTCGACTAAATTTTAAGTATTGTCATATTCAGAAGTTAATTATATGTTATCTTCAACATTTTGGTACTTCACCTTTATTGGGATCAGGGTTGGTTTTTTTCCACCCATATCCTAATGGAATTTGAGAAATACAAATCAAACGTTCCTGATGAAGGTATAATACCGTCACGTTAAGGACAATAATATATATTATAATATATAATCAAAACTCATTGTAGAATTGGAGAGAAAAAAACATTCCAAAAGAAGGTGAAAAACCAAAATGTTGACGCGAATAAAGAGTTTACTTCTGGACTTAGTCGTGTTAAGGTTTGATCCAAGAAAATGGTTAATTTATGGTAACAAAAAAAAAAAACAATATTCAGACACCAAGTTATTTTGAGTAGAGTAAGATCACAATAACATGCTTAAGTGTTGATAAACACATGAAGTTGTTAAAAGAACGGGCTTACACGGAAATTGTGATTTGGTTTCGCTGTGCCTCGAAACATACAATTTATAAGAACTAAACATCTGCCACCAGTAGATAAACTTTACTTACTTGTGTTTTTTTTTGTCTTTCTTCAACGATATTAATCCCAGATTATCTTATTCTGGAATACAGTCTAATAGTCTGATTACTCAGACCTGGAAAATTATACTACTGAATTTGGCATGAAAGTCACGAACAACGTCTTTTCTTACAATAAAAGTGGTCCCCGGTGGGACAGCAGTAAGTTTATGCTAAAATCCGGGGTTCAATTCCCCGTGGCAGAGACAGCAGATACCCCAATGTGACTTTGCTCTAAAACAACCAACCAACAATAAAAGTATTTCTTGTCATTTTTCCGTGTTTCATCACTCAACCTGTTCTTTACCTTTGAATTGCATTTCACATATAAGAAGACACTTTCTGTTATGGTTTCTTTACGGACACTGTTCTTTAAGAAGCACATTTGAGCCCTCTCTTATATACAAAGCAACAGGTTTTATTTGGTAAGGGTATTGAGTGTAAGCAACAGCTCCTCAGCGTTTGTAAGTTTATGGCTTGACTACAGTTTTTTTTAAAATTAACTACAGGGAAACCTTATCCGTTTTACAATGTAACATTTCTCAGCTTTGTGTACAGATACTGACCTCTGCTGATAGTAACAACCAACGAAGGTTTTGTAAAAATCAAGTTGCATCGTAAATCTTGAATGTTCATCAAACTCTACTATAGTTTTGTATTAATTCTTCATTTTTACTTCATACCTCAACTTCTCGGAATACCCACTGTTTTTCTGGCACAGCTATTGTGAAGATGACCCCATTTTAAAGTAACAGGCATTCACGATTGCTTATTCGCTTATCGCCAGTATATCTTGATTTATTAAAGACTTAATTAAAACGGTTCCGAGTCAGTTAATATGTCTGTTTCATTGCTAGGCATGTGAAACCAATTGGCTAAGTTAATTAAATAAAAAATAGGACGATTTAATTAAAGGCAGAGCCTGATCCATGTGTATCCTGTCAGTATTGACACGAATGTCGCCAGAGTGATCAATAAGTCAAGAGGTTCTTATGAGATTAGAGAGAGAGACGCAAGAAATTTGTATGTATACTGTTGATCTAATGCTTTTCACATTCCCTTAACCTTGTCACGAGCTCTAATACAGAAAATAAAGATTACTTTCTGGCTGCTATTCACTGACATTCAGACGAATAAATAAATCTTGGATTTTCATATTAACAAATAATGTCGATCCTCTTTTTCAGATAAATAAACCTTGTAAAGTCACATTGAAAAATAACGTTCATCATCTAGTTCAGAAGAATAAACCTCGGAAAGTCACATTGTCAAAAAAATGTCCATCATCTTGGTTAGACGGATAAACCATGGAAGTCACATTGGTAAATATTGTTCATCTCATTCAGATGAACAAACCTTGGAAAGTCACATTGATAAGTAATTGCTCAGATGAATAAAATTTGAAAAGTCACATTGATAAGTATTGTTGAGATGAATAAACTTTGAAAAGTCACATTGAAAAATAATGTTCATCATCTCGTAAATTATCTCTTTAATATCATTTCTGGCATAATTGGCCCATTTCACCTTTGACTCCAGCTCTGACCCAAAATGGCGACATCTAGTGAAAGCATCCATAAAGGATGACCTCACATCATTTTTAAAGATCATTGTTTCATTAATAACCCTTAAAGAATTATCAATTAATAATTTACCATAAATAATAACGAGACAACCTTAGGCTCTTTGGCAATAGAAACATTATTAAAAGGATGCTTTGCAGTCGGTTTTTTAGTGTAATGGACAGGTTCTCTCTCTGACTGTCGGAGCTCAAACATATTCATAGAATAGCTTTCATTTAATAATGTTTCACTAATGACCTTCCATTGATAATTTGGGAATCAGAATGATGCGTTCCATGTGGTATCTAGATCT